GGGAAAAGTCAGTAGGAATTGAGAGGAGATTGGGAAACTAGTTGAGAGGGGTGGGGGCTAGAGCTGAGAGAGAGAGAGAGAATGAGGCTGGAATTTAAGATAAGGAAGGGACTGGGATTCAGTAAAACATGACCCAACTGGGGTTGCAAATGACAGTGGTTTTATTGAACAGGGGAGATGGTGACACAATGTCGTATTGGTTCTTTTGCACCCACACACACCCACAATGGCAGCAGGTGTTAGAGGGGCTTGGTGCAGGGGCTGAAGTCCACTGAAGTCCAGGAGGAGAGAGAGAGAGAGTCCAAATTGTAGGAGGGGGTGTCCAGGTAATATTTACCTATCCATGCTGGAAAGGGGTCCTTGTCAAGTAGGTATTGTCCAGAGGGGGGTCGCCGGCAGGACCTCTGGGTGGATAGGTGGTGTGACATGGTGCTGGTCCAGATAGAGAGGGTGTCCCACTGGGTCTGTCTTCACTGCCACTTTTTATAGGGGCAGACCTTGTGTGACCCTAGTGACAGGAGGCATGCCCAGGCGAGAGTCAGCCCCTGGCATACTGAGCATGTGTGCTCCATGCATGGATGTGCAGTTTCAGGTGTCTGTAATGGTGAGAGTTGCTGGTTCTGCAGGGTCTTTTGTCTTTCAAATGCTGGGTTTGTATCTCTGTTCCTGGGTGAGGTCTGTGGTTCCTGGATGAATCAATGCGAGGTGATGGCCCAGTCATTACGGGCCATTCAGTACAGGCCTGCTACCATTGTATTTCAGTCATTCCCAATCGCACTTATTCATCCAGGAAACCAATTTACATGGGAGGGATACGTGACTCATACAGTTGCGACACAGGGGATGCCCTAGATGGAGGCTTGACATTCAAAATGAAAACTTGACATGACTTTGGTTCACTTACAAACACAGGCCTAAACCATACAATATCCATACCAAACTGTAAAAATCAATACGAAAATGATAATAATACAATATACAACAGTAAGAATCGATAGAAACCTGATAATAATACAATATACGACAGTAGACATGAAAAACCAAAAGCTTGCTAACAAAATAAAAATATTTAAAGTTCATCCTAAGTCTGAGCTCACTTATACTTATCTATAGGGAATAGAGAGGGAGAGAAAGTCAGAAATGGTTGGGGAAGGGGAGGGAATGCATTTTAAAATAAAAAAAAGAAAAAGGAAAAGAAAAACTGGGGGTTTTGCTACACTACCATAATTCTGAGATGATCATAGAACTGACAAGGTAGGACAGATTAGGTGGTAGCATTTGAATCTTCTTACTATGAGTTCTTTAAATCTCATTCCTTGTAAATGTCACGTGCCTTTTTAATGGCTGTTGGGAACTCTTGCTAAATTTTTTATTGTTGACTGGATGTTTTCTATTATTTCCTTAATTTAAGACCCACTAAACTAGGGAAGGAGGGGCTACTTTTTTGTCAAATGTGCCACTGATCCCCACTGCCAAGAAGTGGAACCGATAGTTTGCACCCAGGGCACTGGGATGTAGGCAAGGGGTTGAACATTTTGCCATGCTCAGAGGGGTGAGAGGGAGGTTGTTTCCAGGAGCCATGTTAACCCATCTGTGGTGCCCCCACCTCTTGGGTGATGTAAGTGGGTATATACTTTTGACATTCTCCCTATGGGTGGAGGGAGGCATGTTAATGAAGCCCTAGTATTGATCTAAAAAATGAGGATTTGTTGGATGATGGCTGCAAATACTGGTGCAGAGAGAAAAATTACTTTCAGGATACTTCTTTTTGTCTGAAAGAAAGCTAAAATATTTTAGCGAACTAGCTTACAGTATTGCAATTTTGATGGTATAAAGTACTCTTGCCCTGTAATAAATGAAAATAGAATAGTGTTATTCCCAAAAATTCTGGTATGTGCATGTTCAACATGTTGCATTTTATCATAACAGCTAAGACCTTTAAAGCACACTTTGAAATTTTTTTTTCATTCTTCAGCCACCACTTGGCCTGGCAGTTGCTTGGCTGAAAAAAAAATGCAATGCACTAATACTCAAGAAATGACTCTTGTGTTTGCCTTGGTGTGTTCTCTTCTTCCCCACCCCAATTGGATTGAAGTATTAGCTGTAATTTTAACAAATGACTGTACGTATGCATACCATTTTGTAGCCTGACCTGGTTAAAGCCTTTAGATGCAACTTTAAATGTGCTGAAACTTATATATTTTGTTCATTAAACTCAGCATGTATTTTAGGCTTCAAAAAAATAGGATTCAAGAGTGAGAATACAATTATTAGATGACTGGCAGAAGACCAGTGGGTGGCACTAGTATTGCAGTCTTGGTGGAAATCTGATTTTGATTAGCAACAAAACTAGAATTATCCAAGGACAATATTTAAAATTATTCAGATAAGCTATAGAAGCTTTTAAGCATTCTGTGAGAATTTTAACTTGAACTGCTTTATCTGCTTGAAGAGAATGACAATACAACTTTTGAAGTAATTATTGTAAGAAGTAAATCTCAGACAACTCTACAATCTTTGATTATTTTAAATGTCTTTTAGCATTCTCCTGAGCTTTGTAACTAAAGATACAGGCTCATGTCTAAACACGGTAACACTTTCTAAATTGTCAGTCTGGGCACCTTGTGCAACTAACTGTTGAAGGTTTAGAATAGAGCACTAAAATGTTTAATTTGTTCTGAGATTAGGTAAATTTAATTCTTAAAGCTTGAAACTTTCCCAACTGTCAGCCAAGTGAATGCTTACCTTAAGAATAAACATGTATGAATGTGTGCCTTCACTTCAAAAGGGTTACTGACATGAGTGCCCTGGGACTTTGACTTTGAAATGCAAAAGACATGCATGTGTTCCTATCCTTTCAAAGGTTTTGACATAAGTAATTTTATCACAGGTGCTTTTTATCTAGATGAGTTTAACTTAAAAAAACAAGTTTTTAAAACCGTGCTTGCCAAATTAAATGAGTTTTCTTTCCTATTTGTTTCTTTGGCAAACTGCTTTTGAGGGTGAATATTCCCTTTAAAACAGGGTGTACCCAGTGTATGACTAAGTTTGGGGATGTATATGATTTATGTGTCATGTATTTCTTTGTGGTTCTAAAAATCTTAAAATGATGTTACTTTGTTCTTAGTGGGGGAAAACAATGTTTGAGTGGTTTAGTTTGGTATTTTATATGATAACATATTTCCTGGTGAATTAGTTCAAATTACAGCTTTTCCCCTATAAAAGCTGTTTTTAGAGGAAAACTAGAAAATAATATTAAAGCCAAGCACCCAACTTTCAGTTTAATGTAAGGAGAGATGCAATATACAAGTACTGCATACGGCAGTTGTCAAGTTGATTCATGGATTGTTTGTCAAGGGGATAATGTCAATGCTTAGCAGTTTCTTCCAGATCCAGATAAATGAGAAAATAAAAGATTTAAGAACATTGGATTTAGCCTTGAGGGTGTTCTTATATCAAGGAAACTGGACAGAAAAAGAATTAACCCCCCCCCCCC